TTGCCCTTTGATGCATATAAGTTTTTAATTTTGATAAAGTCCAGTTTATTTTTCTTCTGTTGCCTGTGCTCTTGGTGTTATATCCAAAAAATCTTTGCCAAATCCCATGTCATGAAAAATTTTTCCTATCCTTCTAAGAGTTTTAAAGATTTAGTTTTTACATTTACATCTTTGATCCATTTTGGGCTAACTTTTGTATATGGTGTAAGGTTAGGGTCCAACTTCATTCTTTTGCATCTGGATATCTAGTTTTCTGAGCATCATTTGTTGAAAGGACTGGCCTTTTCCTATTGAATGGTCTTGGCTTCCTTGTTGAAAATCAGTTGGCTATATATGTGAGGGTTTATTTCTGGGTTCTCTATTTATTACATTGGTTTCAATGTCTGTACTTAATGCTAGTACCATTGTTTTAATTATTGTAGTTTTGTAGTAAGTTTTGAAGTTTGAGTCCTCCAACTATTCTTTTTTTTCAATATTGTTTTGTTATTTAGTGCCTCTTGTAATTCTATACGAATTTGAGTGTCAGCTTTTCCATTCTGCAAAAAAAGCTATTAGAATTTTTATTGGATTGTGTTGGATCTGTAGATAGCTTTGGGTAGTATTGTCATCGTCACAATATTAAGCCTTCCAACTCATGAACACAGCATGTCTTTCCACTTATTTGTGTCTTCTTTAATTTCTTTCAGCAGTGTTTTGTAGTTTTCAGTGTATAACTATTAAAGCTCCTTGGTTAAATTTATTCCTGAATACTATTATTATTATTATCATTGTCATCTATTTTAAAAGTATTTTATTCTTTCTGATGCTATTGTAAATGAAATGATATTTAAAATTTTTATTTTTGGATTGTTCATTACTAGGGTATAGAAATGCAACTGAGTTTTGCATGTTGATTTTATATCCTGTAACTTTGCTGAATTCACTTATTCTAACAATATTTTTGTATGTGTATGGAATATAATCATTAGGATTTTCTACATATAAGAAATGTTGTCTGTGAACAGAGATAATTTTACTTCTTCCTTCCCAATATGGATGCCTTTTATTTCCTTTTCTTGCCTAATTGCTCTGGCTAGGACTTCCAGTACTCTGAGAATAGAAGTGGTGAGAGTATGCATCCTTATCTTGTTCTGATCTGTGGGGAAAAGCTTTCAGTTCTTCACCAATGAGTATGATGTTAGTTACAGGTTTTTCTTATGTATTCACTTGTGTTTTCTTCTGCATTGTCTAATCTGCTGTTAATCCCATCCTGTGTATTTTTTTTTTAATCTCAGACATTGTCGTTTTCATCTCTAGATGTTTGGTATGGGTTTTTAAAATCTCTCTCATGTCAGCTTAACTTTCTGAACATGTGGTATACAGTTATGTGTTTTTAATATCCTTTTTTGCTAGTTTTAACATCTTTGCTAGTTCTGAGTCAGCTTCTCTTGATTGCTTGTTTTTCTTTTGATAAGGCAGATGATTCCATTGATATGTTCTGGTTTCCCATTCATTGGTATTTCTTTACAGTGTAGTTGATATTACCTTTGGTAAATTTTCATGTCTCACTTATTGCTTGTTTCAAAGGCTTTATTGGTTATATTATCTAGTTTTAACTAACTTAACCTTCATAAAATAGGCGTGTGCCTATAAAAAGATTCCTGCAGAGGAACAGAATTGAATATTGTATTAAAAATGCAATCCCAAATGAACAACTAGAGAAAAGCTGAAGTGACAGTTCTTCTGTGATTTTGTTATTTATGATAAGAAATATATGTTTGGTTCCTAGCACTGAACTCCAAAAACCCTTGGATTTTCTTGAGTGATAAGAATCATTAAAGATGTCTTTTGTTTTTCTTTTCTTTTTTTTTTTCTTTTTTGGCTGCACCACGTGGCTTATGGGATCTTAGTTCCCTGACCAGGGACTGAATGAACCTGGCACCCAGCAGTGAAAGCACCGAGTCCTAACCACTGGACGACCAGGGAATTCCCAGGATGTCTTTTGTATTTTCATAACAAGCCTTTTTCAACCACACCTGAGTTTATGTTAATGATGTGACTTCTAGAAAGCCCCTAAGCATAGAGGCTGGTTGCCAGGAGAACCAACCATGTATTGGGTTGGCCCACAAGTTCGTTCAGGTTTTTCTGTAAGATGCTATGGAAAACCCAAACAAACTTTTTGGCCAACCCAATAATTAGAGGGCTGGAACTTTTCAGCCCTATCTTACCTCCCTCACTTCCAGGGTGCGGAGAGGGGCTGGAGGTTTTGTTTAATCACCAAAGGCAAATGATTTAATCAGTCCAGCCTCCATAAAAAAACCCCACGGGTTCAGAGAGCTCTGTGTTGGTGAACATGTGGAGGTACTGGAGGGATGGCATGCTTGGAGAGGGTATGAAAATTCTGTGTCCCTTCCCCATACCTTGCCCTGTGCCCAGATCTCTTCCCTCTGGCTGTTCCTGGGTTGTATCCTTTTATAATAAAATGATAATCTAGTAAGTAAGTAAACTGTTTTCTTGAGTTCTTTGAGCTACTATATCAAATTAATCTTATTGAGGAGGGATTATGGGAACGTCTGATTTATAGCCAGTTGGTCAGAAGCACAGGTAACAACGTGGACTTGAGATTGGACTCTGAAATGGGGGTGTGGCGGTCTTGTGGGACTTCGCCCTTACCCTGTGGGATCTATCTCTTAACTTCAGGTAGATCGTGTCAGAACTGAATTGAATTGTGGGACACCCAGCTGGTGTCCCTGGAAAGTCAAAGAATTGGTAGTTGTGGGAAAAACCCTACGTATTGGGTCACAGAAGTGTTCAATGTTGTAGAGGGGAAACACAGGAGTGTTTTTTCCTAAACAGTCTGCTTCTATTATGAGCTCCTTGTTTGTCATCCACATGAGGAGGTTGAAAAGATAGTTTAATCAAATGTAGTGAGAAGTTGGCAAAATAAAATTTATCAGAAATATTCCCACTGCTGCCACCAATAAGGCAAATTAACAGCCACTTGCAAAACAGAAGACCCAGACTTGGTGAAGAAGCAGTTTGAGCGTCTAAGAGCTAAAGAGATCAATGTCTGCACACAAGATCCACCAGAGGAACCAAGGGAGGATGAATGAGAACTGAAGGTCCTGTGTCCAGGAGAGGTACCCTCTCAGGTTGCCTGTCTCTTGACTTTGATGGTAGGACTCCAGGGGCAGTGTTTCCTGAGGGTGTTATCTGTAGCTTTCAAATCTAACATGTCAGAAGAGTAACTTGGAGACAGTTATTGATATGCAAATTATACGTATGACAGAGAAAGTCATTAGACTGCCAAGAAATATATGCAGGAAATTATAAAAGAGAAAGAGGATATTGGGGGAGGGAAGGAGAACACAAACATTCCGGGAACATTGAGTTTCTTTTCCTGGGTAGACTAGCTGGTAGCAGTCTGCCCTTGAGCAGATTTGTCTTAGGTGTTTAAGAATAGAAAAGTTCTTTCTATCTTCTCTGAAGAACCTTGAGAATTTAACTGTGGAGCATGTGTGACAAGCCGTCTCTCTGCGATGTCTACCAGTGGCCTTCATTTAGTACCTCTACCAAGTCAGAACCATTTCTTCATCTACATTTTCTCAAGTTTGGGTGTCTTTTTTTTAAGCTATATGAGTAAAATGTAAATAATTTCATATTTTTTATAAAAATGGTGTGGCAGATTTCTTTATCTCGACCTGGTGAATACAAGATTACTTAATATATAGAATTTTTTGTTTGTTTTGCCTCAAAGAAACTACACTTAGGTTTTCCTTGGACTGTGCAATTGGCACTGTCCTTTAACTCGTGGTTGCCTGACATTCTAGGAATGACTTCATCAACTTCTTTATCACCTTAGCCCAAGACACCAAACTGTTTTTTTTTAATCTTTGGCATGCAGAAAGACCTGGTGTAATGCATGTTTTGAAATGCGTTTTTATTACCTAATTTGTGTGTGTAATGGATTATCAGAAATCATCCAAGAATTACTAATATATTTCCATATTGGTGACAGGTGTTCTAGGAAGCATTTAGTATTTGAGCATTTACATATATCATCTTAGTTGTGGCTGTTTTGAATTAATTGTGATAAGCTAAAATCTTTTGAAAGTTTCTTTCCAAGTGTCTTGAGTTAATATTTTCCCTCTGGCCAGTGGGATAGACTGCACATTATTTCTGATACTCTTTTAAGACATGTGGGCAGTTACTGTTCATTTAAGCCAGATGGCATGTGTCAAGTCCTTTTCCAGGGCAGGGAGAGGTTTTGGGGGCTGCTGTAGTAGAGCCCAATGTGACTTCTTACAGAACTTGTCTTCTCTTCATATAAATCAGTACATACAGATTTTACTGTTCTTCGAGCACTCCTCTTTAACTTATGAAGATTCTTAAAGGATTGGGCATAAACGTTTTTGTGTGTAAATTCTCTTTTTGCAATTGTGCAGTAGCAAGTGATTATTGATAAGGTTATATAAAATGAATACTGTTTTTTAGGATAAAAACAAAGAATTCTTAAGGCGAGAAAAGAGGGGCCCTTTTATAATTTTACCAGTCTTCCAAGCTGCCCACAGCCAGAATCTGACTTAGGGTGTTGGCAAGCTGTGGACAACGCTCCTAATAATAGCTTAGGGGGCCCTGGGAAAGTGCCCCAACCCACAGTCAGCCAGAGATCTTCTCTACATCAGCACAGTGAACTCTAGCTCTTGGCTTTTAATGTGCCGGGTCGATCACCACCTTACACCTTACACTTTCATTTTTTTCAATAAAACGTTTGCTTTTTCAAGAAGTACAGGTAGGTGAATAAATTTTACAAGCATTTGGTTTTCATTTTTCTCGATTAAATTCTAAGCTGCTAAACTTTAGTGACACTTTTTCTTCTATCTTCACATCCATAACTCTAAGAATTCGGATGTGAATTTGGGCATTTAATAAAGTGGCTTTTCTGTTTCTTCATTTTCTTGGTAATTGATTTAAAATGTATGTTTTACTGGAATTCTTATCAAAATTTTCATTTTTCCAAGGTGTTGACTTTAAGGTGAAAACAATTTCAGTGGATGGAAATAAGGCTAAACTTGCAATATGGGTAAGAATTTTTAAAATGTATTCTGTGTAAATATTAAACTTGTACTTTTTGAAGAAGCAGAAATTGATGTGTGTAGTGTTCTAGAGGTGAATGAGCAATGTGTGTTTAATAACTTGGGAGATTTGATGTTGATTAAAGGATAGCCATAAATAGTTATATCTTATAATTCTGTAATCAGGCAGAGACTTGTTTTACTTACTCAGATTTTTAAAATATATAATCCCTTCAGAATATTTGAAAACAGAGTATTAAAAAAATCATCGTCTGCCAGAGAGAATCATTGTTATTGAATGTGTTTCTTTAAAGTTTTAAAAAGACAACCTGCTCTGAACTAATGCTAAAGACAGTTGTTGTGGAGAAGGGAATGAAGCGATAGAAAAAATGATTTTTCATGTTTGTTAGTGTAAATATCTATAAAATTTGAGCTTGCCAACTTTGGATTTTTTTTTAATACTGATGCTGAGTGTTTACTTACTAGCATCTTTTCATTTGCCTGGTAACCCAACTGTTCTGATCCGCATTCTGTGCTAACTAGACCTCTTCCTGGTAGTGCTGAATAAGGTAGCACTAGCTGCCGGAACGTCCAGGTTACTCAGTCTGCGTCCGTCTGCTCCTCTTTCCGCCTCTCCTTCCTTCCTTCCTTCCTATCTCTGTCTCTCCATCTAAGTATGATTGCTTATATATTAAATATATTACATATAAAATTTATAAAAATACACTCATAAGCTAATTCCCACATATGCTATAGTTAAATATCTAAGTATATTTTTATAACATGATAATAATATTAGGACTGGTCTGCAGTCATCAAATTGAGTCATACTTCGGTGGCTAAGTAGTAAATGCTGGCTGGGTGGGTGTCAATTACAGATTGAAACAGCAAGTGTTCATGCATTGTATGATCTCATTCATGTTAATGGCATTCTCTGAATGGCACACTATTTCTAACGCACACTTTATTCCAAATGACTGTGTGTCTTATGTTTTTTGTCAGTTTTTTTCTAAGATACAATGCTTTACATGATTGGTAGCCTGTTTGTCCCTTCCCCAAAATATGTTTACTATCAATCAGTACAGTAATGTCTAACAAGAAACAATTTGGAAAATGTTGGACTAGACCATAGTAAAATATATATTGAAGTTTAAGAATGCTCCCTTCTTTCCGAACTGAAGTGGAGCCTGATTTTCCATGTTTTTCTTGTTTGATTTATTACCTCTTCTGCCCTTGATCCTGCTGTGACATATACAATTTAGAATAGGATCTGAGGCTTGATGGTTGCTGTGAGATCTTACTTTCATACAAGAGGTTTTTTGTTTGTTTGTTTGTAATTTACTTTCTAGTTCCTGCTCAATAAAAAGGTTGGCAGGTATTACTGAAGTGACATCTTTATCATAGGCTTATACATATTTTTTAAATAAGAGAGGCTTCTCCTGACTGCAAGGATAATATAGTTTCATTCTAAAAAGTATAATCAAAATAGTATGAAATTAATAGAGAAGAAAGTTCATCTTTAACCAATGTCTGCATTTTAGTGAACATCGTATAAAATATGTCAGACACATGCACATTGTTACACGTGTTGTATATGCAACTTTCTGAAAGAAAGGATTCACCTGCTTGTCACCCTCCCCCCAACACACTATGTACATTGTTCTGTGTCAATAAATATAGAAGTACATCAGTTTAAATGACCATCTTAAGATATTTACACCGTTAATAGTTTTTCACAAAGATCAGAAGTGCTGTGATGAGCATACTAATTTTTACATCTGTGTGTACTTGTCCAGTTACTTTACAGTGTATACTTAGAAGCTGAATTACTGTCTCAAAGAATATGAAGACTTAACATTGGGGTATAGGAAAAAGGTCTTCTGTACTATATATTGTTAATCTTTCTCATTTTTACCTTTCTGAGTAATAATTTTTCACTTATATTTGCATTTCTTTTGATTAGTGAGCTTTTTTCTTGCATATTTATTGATTATATTTTAATGAATTTTCTTATATGCTTTGCCCTTTTTATATTAGTGTTCATCTTTTTCATGATTAAAGTCTTTACATAATAAAAATACTAGCTTTTTGTCATATGCCACATTTTTTCCACTCTGTCATTTGTCTTTAAAATCTTATTTAAGAGGAGTATACATTAATGTTCTTGTGTGTGTGTGTAATACTAACTCTGTCATATGCTGCAGATTTTCTCCCCTAGTTTGTCATTTACTTTCAAATCTTGTTGAGGATGAGTGTGGGGGGGGCGGGGAGAGAGCCTGGTGTTGGGGAGGAGTGTTCTTGCCATACCAAGGGTTCAGTATTTACATGATTAAATCAGTTATTTTCTTCATGCATCTGGGTGTCATGTCATATTTAGGAAGGCCTTCTCACTCAGGATTAGAAATATATGAATCTACTTCATGTAAATAAAATCAGCTCCTCTCCCACTTGGATGCTCCTTCTAGGATTATTCAAATAGAATAGAGTCAGGCCCAGCCCTGCCTCCTGTGCCCCCGAAAGTGCGGCACACACATCATGACCTACTTGGCACCCACCTCTGAGGTGGTTCTTCTCTACATCCTTCCCTCACTTCTACTCCCCACATTCTGTCATTTAGCCTTTCTAGATCTTTTCCAGCTTTGTCCGTTTCTGTCTTTAATAATCCTCTCTTCTCCCATCAGAAAATAAAACCACATATGATAAGCTCTGCTTCCTTTATCTTACAAAGATGTTGTTATGTACTGCAAATGCCTGTTTGAAGGCAAGCAAAGATCTAACTTCTGACTATTTAAACATACAAATTATATAGTTGTTATAAATTCTGACCCATCTGAGCTTCTGCTTGCCCCGTAGCTGAACTCACACTTACAGCCATGCGACTGGCGGTTGTTGGCATTTGATGTACGTCTTTCCTTTTCTTCAGGTTATTTTACATTAGCAGACTGCAAACTTTTTCTTAAAAGACTGGAAGATATTAGGTTCAACCCCAAGGTGGGCCGTACAGCAGTACATAAGTGAATGGGCCTGGCTGTGTTCCAGGAAAACTTTATTTAATAAAAACATATAATGAAACAGGTGGTGGGCTGAGGCAGCAGTTTTCCAACTGCTGCTTTGCTTAATCTTAGGTAGACTTGAGCCACAGTCCGAGGATGGTAGAAAGAAGACAGAAGGAACCAGGCCCAGAAGAAGAGACTTGCTAATTAGTTTACTCCTTTTTTTTTTTTTCAACAAAAGTTGAGCAACTATTCTATGGCAGGAATTTCTCTGGGCTCTGGAGTTAACCTGGTGATTGAGCAGATGTGGCCCCTTCCTTGTGAAATTTACATTTCCTAGCTTGTGTACGTCTTATATTCATTACCCCTAATATGAGTCAGAAATGTAATAAGGAGTGGTTTGGTTTTAATGCATTTTCCTGAAAGAAGATACATAGAAAACATTTTTTAAAGTACAACCTAAAAATTGCCTACTTAAAATAAAACACCCCTGTAATTCTCTTTAAATCATTGGTTCTCAACCTTGATTCTGTGTCAGAATCATCTGGTGGGAAGAGTATTAAAACTTCTGTCATACCCTAGTTAAGTCAGAATCTTCATGGGTTCAAGCTAGGCGTCTGTATTTTTCATCTCCCAGGAAATTTTATTGTGCCACCGGAGTTGAGAACAATGGCTTTCAATGAAATGGGTTTCATGTGTGATAAAAATCTTAAATTCAAAATTGTAGAAAACCTATACTTTGTTACATTTTTTCTAGAGATGAGGCAGTATTTGTTAGTTTTTATGTTACACTTGTCAGTAAAAAAAAATGTCTTATTTAAATTTTAAGTTTTAAATGAGCTTGATATTTTAATAATGCTGTTCAACTTTCTGCTCTTAAATTAGTATGTTGAAGGTTTTTATTTATACTTTGTTTTGTTTAATAATAATTGATTGCCACTTTTAGGATACTGCTGGTCAAGAAAGGTTCAGAACATTAACTCCCAGCTATTATAGAGGTGCACAGGGTGTTATATTAGGTAAGGTTTTACTTTAATATACTGTTTAAAAAATATTGTTTTATTACTGGGGAATTTCTAATTTTCCTTGTTTGTGAAGGTCAATAAGTTTTTGTTTCATTTTTCTTTATGGCTACTTTTATGTGACTTGAAGTTACATTAACTTCATGTAATATTAATGAATATTTAAACTTCTAAAATTTTGTTTCAGCCCTTTGTCTAGCAATTAAAAAATAAAGATCAGACACATGTACTAAGGAGTGGTTTGGATTTATGCATTTTCCTGAAAGAAGATACATAGAAAACATTTTTAAAAGTACAACCTAAAAATCGCTTACCTAAAATAAAACACCCCTATAATTTATCTGGTTTCAAAGCGCGTGTTGCTGAGGACATAATTGAGGACCAGTCCTCCTGTCATTGGTCTGTCTTAGAGTATTACCAGAAACCAATCTTCAGTCAGCAGCTTACAAATATTTACTGCCAGATTATAAAAGAAGGAGAGTGTTGGTTGCTTAGCGGAATCTGTTTTCTTAGTCTTGAAAAATAGCACAGAGCACTTAGTACTATTGATTTATAATCGCACAGAACTTAAAAGCCAAGTGTGGATTTTCAATGTAATTTATTGAAAAGTGCTTGTTCTTAATATTCCTGAGAGACTGTTTAAAATGAATATTGATCAATTGTAGGGAGAAATCTTTTCTTATATATCATGACTTGTGAGGCTTTGGTTTCATTTCTGTGAATTTGACAGTGACTCTCATAGTTTTGGTTCAGCATCTCCTAAGTTTAGAAAACACTTTAAATTAATAAGCTCTTTATTTAGTAAAATGCAGAGTGATGGGAGATGAAAGTGAAAACAGAGGAAGACGATCAGGATTCCACCCACTAACTTTGCATATTTTTTCAAATTTTCAAATTCTGGTCCTTGTGAGAAATAAAATAACAGGGTCATAGATGCTGAAATTTATGTAAAATTTTTTGGTATTTTGCCACAGATTTGAATCTAAACACCTTTTGGTTTTCAGACAAACTTTTTTTATTGTTATAAATGGAGACACAGCTGTTGTTTTGCTTAATTTTCAGTTATCACATAGGATATAATTTCATTTCTCTCACAACATATGTAAATAAAGTTGAAGTATGTATGTAAATGCATATATTTTTTTTAAAAATACACTTGTTTCTTCCATCTGGATCAGTAGGCACTGATTTTTAAGCATTGAAGGCTTAGAAAACAGACTTGTCTGTATAGTAATGTCAGTTCCTAGTACATATCAGAAATGTAATGCCATTGTTTCTTACTTTTGATATTTATTTAATAACTGATTCTTTTTATTCCAGTTTATGATGTCACAAGAAGAGACACCTTTGTTAAACTGGATAATTGGTTAAATGAGTTGGAAACGTACTGCACGAGAAATGACATAGTAAACATGCTAGTTGGAAATAAAATTGATAAGGTGAGAAGTCAGACACTTGGCAGTTTGGCTCTATATTTCGGTAGCTTTTCTTAATCTTTGATTTATCTTTTAGGAAAATCGTGAAGTTGACAGAAATGAAGGCCTGAAGTTTGCACGGAAGCATTCCATGTTATTTATAGGTAGGTGTGTGAATCTTTATCTTTTCATTATTAATGAAGAGTTTTTAAATGGAGTTTCTGTTACATTGTTCTCTTTATGAACCATAAAATGTGTGTATATAGCTCATGGTTGTCTTGTGCTATAAAACTAACCAACTGTAGAACCAGGTTCCTTATTTTTCTTTCTGTGAAAAAGAATAGGATCTCACATCATGTGAAGCCTTACAGAACACAGTCACACCATTCCTCTCCTTCAGGAAAGCCAGGAACCCAGCCCTGCAGTCGCACCTGCTGGTTCATGTGCTGGCAGCAGTGGCACCACCTGAGAGTTTGTTAGAAATGCTTCATTTCAGACCCTAGCCCAGTTTTTCTGAATTAGAATCTGCATTTGAGAAAGATGTTCATGTGATCTGTATGCACGTTAATATGTGAGAAGCACAGTAGAGCAAGTGTTGGCAAATACAGCACAGGCCAGATGTGGCCCCACTGTTTGTATGGGAACACACCATGCCCGCTCATCTGCGTTGCTGTCTGTGGCTGCCTTTGTGCTTCATGGCAGAGTTGTCATTACAGTGGAGGCAGTATGGCGTCAAAGCCTAAAATATTTACTCTCTAGCCACTTACAGAAGATGTTTGTTGGCCCCTTGTCTGGCATAGTGGACTGGCTCTACCAGTTGGGAGCTTTTAAAAGTTACACTCTCTGGGCCTTACTTATCACGGGTCTGAAACAGAGCCTCGAAGGCAGTTTATAAGAAACACCCTAGTTAATTCTGACGTGAAGCCAGCCTTAGGAATTACTGTTTTAGCTATTCCACTGTATTAGAACCCAGTAGGAATCAGGAAATGGAAATGGGAGAACATCACATATAAAGAGAAGTGGGGTGGTGTAAGTGGAAGGTGTAGGGAATTTTAGACAGGGATTGAGTAGTATCTCTACTGCTTACTCGCTAGGTGTCTTTCATTTCTATATGTTAGTTCAATATTTATTGAACACTGAGGATACAACAGTGAACAAAATGGTCCAACTTCCTGTCCTCAGGGAGTTTACATTCCAGGCTGGGAAACAGACTCGTATAAGTAGTGCTATGCAGGAAATAAAATATAGTAAGGGGAGAGGGAATGACCAGGGTGGGAGGTAATACGGAAAAGTTCTTTGAGAGAGTGCCATTTGAGCAAGAATTCGTGGTATGAAGATCAAGACAGAGAGTGTCTCAGGCTGAGAGAATAACGAGTATTTCCTGAGGTAGGAGCCAGCTTAGTGTGTCTGAGCAACAGGAAGGAAGCTTGTGCGCTGGAGCAGAGCGTGTGCTGGAGGAAAGGGTGGTGATGATGGGACAAGAGATCTTAAAAGGTCATGTTGGACCTCCTAGAATATGGTAAAGAAATGAATTTTATTCTAAGCAAGGTGGAAAGCAAGGGAGTAGTGCTGTGATTTGATATTCTTTTAAAGAGACTCATTTGTGTAGCAAATGGCCCGTGAGAAGCAGAAGCAAGAGGCTGCTAATTCTCTTGCAGTGGCCTAGATGAGGGGTGCTGGTGGCGCTGACTGCAGTGGCAGTCATGGCTGGTGGGAAGTTGGCAGATCCAGGAGATGCTTTGAGGGTAGAGCTGACAGCACATAGGTTGGGTGTGGAGGATAAGGGAAGAGAGCAGTCAGGATAAGTTCAGGTCTCTGGCATGAGCAGCTGGGTGAATGGTGGTGCCGTAACTGAGATGTGGAAGTCTGAGATGAGAACAGGTTTAGGCAGAGGAATAGGGAACCAAGAGTTCTGCTTAGACATAAGACCTGTCTTTCAGACAACCAGTGGACATCGTGGTCACTGGCATTTAGGTGGTGTTTAAAGTCATGGGACTGGAGCAATCACTACAGGAAAAACTGGATAGAAAAGGGCTGATGATTGAACGCTGGGGCACTCCAGCAATCAGAAGTCAGCAGAAAGAGGAGGTGCCAGCAAGTAAGGCTGCGAAAGATACGCCAGTGAGAGAGGAGGTGCCAGCAAGTAAGGCTGCGAAAGATACGCCAGTGAGAGAGGAGGTGCCAACAAGTAAGGCTGCGAAAGATACGCCAGTGAGAGAGGAGGTGCCAGCAAGTAAGGCTGCGAAAGATACACCAGTGAGAGAGGAGGTGCCAGCAAGTAAGGCTGCGAAAGATACGCCAGTGAGAGAGGAGTGCCAGCAAGTAAGGCTGCGAAAGATACGCCAGTGAGAGAGGAGGTGCCAGCAAGTAAGGCTGTGAAAGATACGCCAGTGAGAGAGGAGTGCCAGCAAGTAAGGCTGCGAAAGATACGCCAGTGAGAGAGGAGTGCCAGCAAGTAAGGCTGCGAAAGATACGCCAGTGAGAGAGGCGGTGCCAGCAAGTAAGGCTGAAAGATACGCCAGTGAGAGAGGAGTGCCAGCAAGTAAGGCTGCGAAAGATACGCCAGTGAGAGAGGAGTGCCAGCAAGTAAGGCTGCGAAAGATACGCCAGTGAGAGAGGAGGTGCCGGGAGTGTTCAGTGTCCTGCAGGCCACGTGAACCAAGTGTTTAAAGGAAGAAGGCGGTCGGCCACATCAAATGCTGCAAGGGGTCAAATGAGAAAAGGACGTTGGATTTGACAAGGCACAGGCTTTGGTAGTCTTGAAAAGAATAGTTTCCATGGAGTGGTGGGAACAAAAGTCTAATCAGAGTAGTTTGAAGAAAATTTTGAGATAAAGTGGAAACAACTTATATGGACAACTCTTTGTGACAGTTTTGAGAGAGTAGAGAAACTAGGTGGCTACTGGAGGAGGTGTGGGCTGGAGGGCAGGTTGTTTGGTTGGGCGGGTGGGTGTTTAATGAGACGGACAATAATTTTGGTGGGCTTTGAAGCTGACTGGTATAATCCAGTAGAGAGGGCACATGATTTTTCAGTGAATGAGAAGGGATGGGATCCCGGGAACTAGACAAAGGGGGGCCTCAGACGGCAGCCGGGATGGTTCACCTGTTGTAACAGGAGTGAAGGCAAAGCCTAAGGATACAGATGTGGGTGGGCTGGGAACCCTGTCAGTGGGATGATCAGTAGTTCTTGCCAGGTTGTCTCGGGTTTTCTCAATATAGAGCTAGATCATCAGCTGAGGTAGAGGAGCTTTAAGATGACGGAATAAATAGTTATCTCAGACTGGAAAAAAAGGTAGTCACTGGGGAAATACAGGATTGGGGAGCAGGGCTGGATTGGGGAGCAGGGCTAAGTGTCCACATGCGTCTCATGAGCATAAATTTAAAATGGGACTAGTGTTCATGGTTGTATGTCATTTATCCAACCACCTATTGCTGCTGGGTCCCAGGCACAGAGCAACCAGATTGTTTAACTTAGAGCCTAGATTTCCTTATTCTAAAATGGGAATGATACCTGCTTCAGGGGCTAATTTTAAGAACTAAAAAAATTAAGGAAAGAACTTTGGCGTAGTATTTGAGTAGGGCTTTAAAATTTACAACTCTATCACAAAATCTTGGGCTTATATACCGCTAGTCTTATAGATAGAACTTAAATAGCTCAACTTCGAGAGTTGCAGGAAATTTGCTAATCTTAAACCTGTGGGGAGAGATTTGGCTTTTTATATATCATCAGCTGATATTTCTGCTGTAATAGTTTTCCAGAAAAACGTAGAAATATGATCAGAAGAGAATATACTCTGACATTTTTCCTTGAATTTCAGAGGCAAGTGCAAAAACCTGTGATGGCGTACAGTGTGCTTTTGAGGAACTTGTTGAAAAGATCATTCAGACGCCTGGACTGTGGGAAAGTGAGAACCAGAATAAAGGAGTCAAACTGACACACAGGGAAGAAGGGCAAGGGGGAGGGCCCTGTGGTGGTTACTGCTCTGTGTTATGAACTCTGGGGAGCTCCATCTCTTGCATACTTGATCGGATAACGTCATCTTTCTGTATATAAACTCTTCAACTGCTATTTTAGGGTCCTTGCAGTTTGCACATATTTGTTTTGTATCATGGCAGTAAATACTTGCAAGAAATCCCACTTATCGACTTTTCCAGGTAAAACATTATGGTAAGCATGCATAGTTTGCAATCTGCAGTTTTTTATGTAACATAAAATAGGTGTACCTTTATAAGTACATTTGATTTTATGATTTACATTCATCATGTGGTTTTTTAAAAATCCACTTATCTAGTGTATGTTGATACAAGGTCTATTTCTGGTGTCCTTTTCATTTAAATACTCATCAATTACTGAATTAATTGGTATGTAGAACTCCTAGGACCACTGAGAGACATACAGGTATCATCAAACCTGGCAAATTTCCCTTGAGAAATAACAAAGAGCATGATTCCATAACTTTTCTAGGATGTTTGCTGATGGATTCTCTTTTAGTACTAAGCAAATTTCTCTTTACAGGATGTAGCCCAGGCCAATTTATAATTAAATCTCTGTTTGTTCTGATGATGCTTCTAAAATAGCATCGATATGTTAAAGAAGTTTGGTCTTACTTTTAATTTAGTTCACAAGTCGCTCAGTTGCTTAACTGGAGTTTTAATTCTGTGATATGTACATGGGATTCATGACCCTTTGTGCAGCATTTTTGCTTATGTGGTATTTGACAGGATGGCAATAAGGTTTCCCCCCATTTTGTTTTCAGAAGGACAGGAATGGTGTGTTTATGTAACTCATGTAGTACTTTGACCACTTTTAGAAACAACACCTTTTTCCATAAATGTTGGTGGTGTTTGTGCAAGCACTTCAGTCGTAGCTTGTGTAATGTTAATGAATATCTGTATCTTATGACTTCCATAAATGGCTAGTTGATACTCAAAAGCCTACTTCTGTGTTTTGAGGGTTGGGGGAAAACACACTAAATTATAATTTGAGAAAGGCATATTGCTTCCAGATTTTGATGTGTGTGGGAAAATACTGTTGCAATGAAAATCTTGGTAATTTACTGTAACAAGTAGCCAATAGTTTATCAAAACCAACTTGTACAGACTAATAAATCTTTTCCACAGTATTCAGTTTTCTAACCTCTTGCTGTTGTACACTGTATATTTTTTCACTCATATATTTAATTTACATTGATCTCTGCTATTTTAAGCCTCCAGATAAGTAATTTGTCCTTTCAGGCAGGTTACTCTAATACCCCTCAGTAAGATTAATAAGAAATATTAATTTCTAGGCAGTTTGTTCTCTGTATACAGGTGCAAGTGATAAACATTTTTGTGGGTCACCGTTGCAATATATGTGATAATGGGCTGAAATGTACATCTTCACATAAGAAAACCTTACATTCTACGTGGTTCACACTTGTTAGACTACATTACATTTGATTAAAGGTTTTCTGCATTATGTATGTTTTTACTAAATATGAAACATATACTACTTTAATGTTGGAGAAAGATAGCTAACACATGTACTTAACGACTTGTTGTTACATTAAAACTGTAGATTTGTATATTTATGTAGTTTCTGTATTGACATTTCTGTTTATTGCTTTTTGCTCCTTGAACTATATAATACTCTTTCTGTGCATTGGATTGTCTTGATTTGGTCAGAATTTGGATACATATGAGTCACTTAACTTTTAACAACTAATTTTGTTTGATTTATATTGTAACCTTTATAGTTTTTAAATAAATATAGCCTGCTTTCCCTAGATGCATTTGTGCAGGAAGTATTATACATTTCCCTATTACTCTCATCAGCTGAGGAAGTCCTGAATACAGTGTTATTCACATTGTCACTATTTTGTTGCAAGCTTCTTGTTTCATAGTGTAGGTTTTCTAAGTGAAGTAGTAGTAATATCTAAAATTAGTCACTTAACAGGATTTTGTCAGTTCTTCATTTCTCAGTCATTTGTAGTAGTTTTAAAGTGCCTTTTGCAGATGGAGAAAATCAGAACAATTAGAATATAGTGTTTTGAGTCTGGGAGTACTGAGATAGACCTAAACAAAAAAATAACTTCAATTTATATTAACAGTAATAGTTAACATTTATTGAAAGCTTACTGGGTGTCAGGTCCAGTTCTAAGTGCTGGATTATGTCATTAAACCTCACAGCAACCTTAAGAGATTGGTTGGTACTGCCATTATGCCCATTTTAAAGATGAGGATAATGAAACATAGATAGGTTAAGTAACTTCCCAAAGATCACAGTGCTAGTCAGTGATGGAGCTGGATTCCAGTCAAGGCATTTTCACTCCTGAGTCCGTACTCTTAACCACCGCTCCCTTTGCTACGGCTAGTTTTTGTTTTAACATAGCAGGTTTATCATTCTTTTGTTATGTGTAATAGAAGATTTTCAGGATTTTTGGTTATAGAGTAAATCCCATTGATGTAAACCAACTGTGTAAATCATTTGACCTAGAAGTTAAGGTAGTAGAGTAGGTGGTCTCTTAGTGAAAATCTTTGACTTAGTAAAGGTACAAAATCAGGGGACTTAGGGCACCTTAATTTCCTATTTGTAATTGGATATGGGAAAAGTTATTAAATCTGGGAACAGCCTTTCGGCTCAAAATTGAAATCTAGGGGATGTTTTCATTTCAGGTACTCAGTTGCCATCTATAAATTCACACTTGGCTTTCTAACTGAATACAGTGAAATTGGACTTGATTTTGATTCATTGTAATTTGCATACTTGAAATATACATGATTACATGATTCTGTTTTAAGTGTGGGATAGCACAAACCTACCTCATATCTATAATGTCTTTAAATACAGTTTAATATATATTTTTTCTAACTGATTTTCAAGTGAACTGGGATAATCCTCCAGATCCAATAGCTTGTAGGTCTTTTCAGTATTCAAGCACTATGCTTCTATATTTTGGGGTCCATTTCATCAGTCATACTTATGAAGTTTTTGCGTCCTTCATTTATTTTCCCTTGTTAGAGATAGGAATAAAAGCATTTAATCAGTTTTAGAAGATATACTAGTTCTGACCCCAGCTATGCTGAGGGTAATCAACTATAGATTTCATCTTGGGTTTTGTCTGGAAATGTTGAAGGAAGAGAACAGAAAGAAATAAGCTGAGTCAACACTTGGAGCTAAGGAATATAGATTTACCCAGGAATCTCCGTTTTTATTTTTTATTATCATTTTTAATGGGACTATCTATCAGGTTGGAGGAAAAGAAACATGCTCAACTTCTGTTACATTATGGGCTTTAAATTTTACTGTTTGTTGCTAGCTTTTTGTTTCATATTTAGGAATCAGTAACATTTCTGATAGTGGTATAAAGTTTGCTTCAGTGCCTCTTAGTTACAACTGTTTTGTCACAAACGTTTCCAATAGTACTGTGAGCTTCTGTTCTCACAGGAGCTGCCCCCTCACCATCTCTCTCTCACACACAAAAGCAATGTTTCTTTTTCTTTTATTAACCTGATAAACAATAAACTATGTAATTTTATTTGTATTTCTTTGATTACTAGTGTGGTTGGGCACTTTTAATATTTTATTGGATATTTGTATTATTTTCTTTTATTCCTTGTTCCTGTTATGTTGTGCTTGCCCATCTGGCATCCACCACCCACTTTTTCTTTGGATAACTGCCCTCCATCATCACACATGCAGTTTGGATGGGATTGTCGCACCTTCAGCTCTGGAGCTGACGTGGTTATCTTTAACCAGTGCCACTTCCCCCCAAGTCCCCACAGTAAATGGTTCAGATGAGGCTACTTAGTTATAAGATGTTTGTTGAGGCTTCCTCAGGAACTGTAGAAGACACTTTCTTGGAGATAATGTGGTGTGATAATTCTGAACTTGCTGCAGCCAGCTTTTCTATTTAAAGGAGCCAGCCCGAGGGCGGCACTAAGAAAATAAAAGTGTGTCCAGGTTGGACCCTTGATGCAATCTGGAGCCCCTGGATCAAACTGGACCTGAAGTTAGTTACACTTCTGGACTTTTCACTTATGTGAGCCAATAAATTCCCTTTTGGTTTAAGCCAGTTTGAGTTGGATTTTTTTTCTTGTAACCAAATGTATGCTCTGTGAGTGTATATGGTCTTTGTAGGGGCTCTTTGTACATTGAATTCAGTATGTTGATGACTGTCACTTGAAAAACCATTATTCTTAAGTAACTTAATATTTTAGTGAGGTTATTTCATATATTTATTTGTGGATATATACATATATATAATTTTAGGGACTCCTTATTTTATAGGGTCTCATGTTTTTTGGTTTAATTTCCTCTGTCATCCCAACACTCACTCTTCCCCTTTCCCACCTGAGATAATCATTGTTACAACCTGGCATGTATACCCTTTCTGCATTTCTCCATGCCTCTTTAATCGTATGCAAGTATGTATATATACGTTATTTTACTCTTGTTATTTTACAAGAATGAGATTGTATGTATAATCATCTCTGCATGTTGCTGTTCTTACCTAACAATAGACTGTGAAAATACCTCTAAGCCAACTTGGATGCATCTATTATCTATTTCAATGATTGTACAATATTAATATTCCATGGTATGGATTATCACAGTTTATTTAACCATTCTTCTAGGAATGGGCACTTATATTGTTTCCATTTTGGCCTTTGCAGATGGTGCTGCAATAAGTATCCTTGTACACATATCGTTTTGTTTCTATGGGATAGATATTTAAGGGTTGGATCTATGGGCCAAAGAAAGTGTATATATTTTTCTAGTTTTGATAGATCTTATAAATTGCTTTCCAAAAATCTGTAACAGGGCTTCCCTGGTGGTGCAGTGGTTGAGAGTCCGCCTGCCGATGCAGGCGACACAGGTTCGTGCCCCGGTCCGGGAGGATCCCGCATGCCGCAGAGCGGCTGGGTCCGTGAGCCATGGCCGCTGAGCCTGCGCGTCCGGAGCCTGTGCTCCGCAGCGGGAGAGGCAAAAACAGTGGGGGGCCCGCGTACCGAAAAAAAAAAAAAAAAAACTGTAACAATTTACATTTCTACTAGCAATGGGTAAGGGTATTGTTTTTCCCCCTGCATTCCCCATCAGCAGTAGGAGGTGTTCACAAAATTTAATTTTTGCCACTTTGATGTACATTAGTTTGCATTTTCTGCAGAGCATTTTTTCATGTTTGTAGGCTATTTGGAGTTACTCTTTTTTGAAATGATTATTCATTTGTCAGTTTTTCTGTTCAATTTTTTTCCTGGTTTTATTATGTTATACGAGCCCTTTGTACAGTACAGATACTAACCCATATATATGTAAGTTTTAAGCATTTTTTTCTAACCCAGTGTTTGTTTTTCAGTTTGTTTATGCTATGTTTTTTCTTACAATTTATTTTTTAATATTTTATACCTTTTGGGTTCCTCGGCTCTTAGACTGTACATGCAATCTCCTTAACCTCTTCTGAGGCTTTTGTTTTACTTTTTTCTTTTTAAATCCTTAATAACTTAGAATTCACTTTTGCTTATGACACAAAGTAGGGAGCCATCTTATTTTTCATATGGGTAGCCAGTTGTGTCAGTACTACACATTAAATAAACTTTCTTTACCCCACTGAACTGAAATACCAATCTTGCCCTAGATAAAATTCCCATAAGTACTGGAATCTACTTTGGCCTTCTATTTTGGGCTCTCTTCACCTTAGAAGGTTATGGATTTCAGTGCAATTGGTTTTCTTTAGTCCCGTGTGTTTCATTTATGTTTTAAAAACATTCTTAGAAGGGCTCTGTGGGTTCCATCAGACTGTAGCAGAGGCCTGGCAAAACAAAGGTTTTGATGTTAGTGGCTCTATAATATGTTCATGGCTGATAAAGAAGTCCTTTCTCACTGTTTTCAATTTGTTTTTTTAAATATGATTCTTTCACTTTATCCTTTGCCCATTTTTCCTTTTTGTGGTTCCTTTTTTTAATAGAGGTCTTTTATAAAATGTGATATGGATACTAGTCTTTTGTCACTAATATATATTCCTGAAGTCTTGTCACAATTAGTGGTTTGTCTTTTGAATTTCTTTGAAATAGTGTATAATTAAAATTTTTAAACTCAGAATTTAATCATTTCAGTCCGTTTGTAAAAACTAGAATTCTAATTGGAATCACCTGATAAATATTTCTATGTTAATTATGAGAAAACTGATAATTTAATGGTAAGACTTGCCATTAGGAAATGAGATATCTTTCTGTCTATTCAGATTTTATACTGTTTTTATATTGATAGTTTTCTTTACATAGGTCCTGAACCTTCTTTTACAAAACTATTCCTAAGAACTCGTGTGTGTGTATGTGTGTGTGTGTGTAGAGTTGGTCTTCTCATTTCAGAATCTATGAACTTGTTGCTAATAAGGAAAAGCTGTTGACTTTTCTGTCTATCCAGCTGACTAATCAATTTGGTACTTTGGTTTAAAATAAGGTTTCTTGGGACATCCCTGGTGGTGCAGTGGTTAAGAATCCACCTGCCAGTGCAGGGGACATGGGTTCGAGCCCTGGTCCGGGAGGATCCCACATGCCATGGAGCAACTAAGCCTGTGAGCCACAACTACTGAGCCTGCGCTCTAGAGCCCACGAGCCACAACTACTGAAGCCCGTGTGCCTAGAGCCCATGCTCCACAGCAAGAGAAGCCACTGCAATGAGAGAAGCCTGCGCACCGCAAGGAAGAGTAGCGCCCATTCACTGCAACTAGAGAAAGCCCAGGCACAGCAACGAAGACCCAACGTAACCAAAAATTAATTAATTAAT